TTGAAAACAGTCTTTAGATCTATTCGAGGTCTTTCAGGGGGGGGGGGGGCCCCCCCTTACAAATCAGAGGTGGACATTATATATATAATTACAGGTTGTCGCGACTTCAAGTTGCCAACAAGTTCTGAAGTGGATGGAAGCTTCAACGCTTCTCCTGAATGTGCGATGTGTCGTCTCAAAGTATCGGCATTATGTCCACCGCAGCCAACAGTGTCCTTTGGAAAACCGTGCAAGGGGTTGATTTAGTACCTGTTTTTTCTATATGCCCATTGCACGGTTTGTTCCTAATAGCTTCTTGTTACTAGTAGTAAGAATGCTCCTAGTAGTACGGTCAGGAGCCCGTAGTAGCGTCCTTTGCTCCTAGTAGCGATGCCCTTTGTTCCTAATAGCTTCTTGTTCATTTTGGGGGCTCCCCTTCCCAATCTCGGTCTTGGGAGTCTTCAACTGCGTTCCGAACATGCCGGCCACCGACCGTCGAATCATGATGGGAACGTCGTCGCGGTCGGGAGGCTGGTCGGGATGTTCCCACCAATTGTACGACGTTGGCCCCGTGCGCGCGATGATCTCCTCAGGCGACGATCGCCGCAGGGCCCAACTGATCGCCCGCTGAGTTACTGTGAAGACTCAGTCCAAAGAGACTTCTTGAAGCCGACTCAATGACTTAACTCCTAATATAGTATATATTCATCCAACTACACCTGTTCGAGCTGTGGAGGTGCTTCTATTTGGATCGCCCTCGCCTGATCTGGGCGGCTGGAGGCTTTCTCGCCTCTTTGATTGGTCCAGGCCGACGGCACTGAGCTCTGGAGGCTCAGAAGCGGAATATGAAGGGCTGAAAGAGGATCAGTTGGGTCTATCCTAATATTAGGTACCAGGCCTCGCTCAAAAATCCAATATAGTGATTTGCTTGTTTACGGGTCCTGTTGCAGGTCAAAACGGACAGGCTGAAAGAGGATCAGTTCTGACCTTCTGATCCTTCTGACACTCCTTCGGACCATCCATGGGACTGGAAGTCGCTGCGGGAGAAACACTGGGATCATGCTATGGATGATCTGGGCACCTCCGGCCATGGTCTGGAGAAAGACAGGGCTGCCCACGTAGGTAAAGTAGGCGGTTCCCAAAGAAACATGCGTGAAGAAGAACACATGCGATGGATGCACTTCGGAAACCTATGGGTGGGGCTGCTTACTGCTCCACGCCCTTCGTCTGAACCAACGTGAAAAAACGACCAGACGGGGCCATCGGGTTACTCGGCACCACCACGGTGGGAACCCACAAAGCTCAACAGCCTGACGAGCGACTGTGACGAGTCACAAGCCTGGTAGCTTTAATAGGACACGATACTCACTCGTCCGCCCCTGCCAGGTTTCCTTGGCTTCTGTCCAGGTCATCATCTCAGCCACGTCCACGTTCTGCGCCGGTGCGGCGATCAAAACGTAGCGAGGCTATATTCAACACTCAAAAAGAATAGAAGTTTGAACCACCGCCAGCACTATAGTTGCTTCCACCACAGAACGTTTCGTCCAGTTTCAAGTTTCGTGGTCTGCTGCATATCAGGTTGTAACCCATCAGCGGCCAGCTGGCACCTCGAATGGAATATGGCACACATCAATCTCTTGGAGCGGTTCCGCTGAGACTTCCACACTGCTCTGTCTGGGACAAAGTGAAAGTACACACATTCATTGTAGACGATATGGGTCCCATTACGGGTTCTACCATGTTCTACCTCTGTCTATTGTTGGCCAAGTGGAGCTATAGTCTATTGTCTCATAATGTTTAATGTATTGCGTGTGTGTGTGTGTGTCACACCCTGTTCCTAAGGGTTTTCCAATCGCTCCCACTTTCCACAAAAGCAGGGGGCGACAGAGTCGCTGCATGGCTGTCGCCAACGAAGCTCCATGCAGTTGACTAGGATATCACGGCTGATCACCGTGACGTACCTGCAACCAAAACCTTTGACCACGCTGTCTAATCTGCTTGGTTTGTTTCCATGGTTTTTCATGATACCTTCCCCCTAAACCATTTCCTCCCCAGCAGAGGTGCAGCTTGAGCCGCTTCGTCACCGCAGTCAAGGGAAACAACCTTTGTTCAAACACCTACAATTGCACGGGCTTTTCGCCATGCTGTTCCATCGCCATCCTTCCCATCGTGGCAATTGAGTCTAACTGAAAACCAATGTTTAACGGAACTTTGAGCCGCCGGGCTATAAACGATGGAATCCACTCAACCACAGAATCCAGAGCCGCCGGGCTATAAAACGGTACTCCACCCGCAATCAAGCAGGTTTCCCGACCCCCCTCCCCAACCGAGTTCTACTCCCCACCTAATTAGGGCAACATAGGGAAATGGCACTCGATGCACTTGTGTGTCGGTACCTTTCCCTGTGTTGTTCCTGTTCTAGTCTTCTCTACCCGGGCGGTTTAAGACTAAAGTCCCGCTCCCTAACTACTGCATTTAATTCGTTTCCGCTAAGTATTCAGTAATTCTAGAGGGCTAAGTATTCATACACACACACACGGACACACACATGGACATACACCCCCCTCCCTGCCCCCCCCTTTCCTTCTTGCGCTTTTCTTCGTTTGTTGGGCTTTCTCTCAGGCTTTTTAGGTCGCTCTTGAGGCTTGTTTCCCTACCCCAGTCAAGGGCTAAGTATTCACTTTTTCTACACCTACCTTTCTTTCTTGCCCTCTTAGCGCTGCTCTTTCTGTCTTTCTTTCCTTTCGTTTCTAAGGCTTTTTAGGTGTCTATTTAGGCCTCCCACACGAGCGCCGCGGAGCGGCACCGTGTGTGTGTCACACCCTGTTCCTAAGGGTTTTCCAATCGCTCCCACTTTCCACACAAGCAGGGGGCGACAGAGTCGCTGCATGGCTGTCGCCAACGAAGCTCCATGCAGTTGACTAGGATATCACGGCTGGTCACCGTGACGTACCTGCAACCAAAACCTTTGACCACGCTGTCTAATCTGCTTGGTTTGTTTCCATGGTTTTTCATGATACCTTCCCCCTAAACCAGTTCCTCCCCAGCAGAGGTGCAGCTTGAGCCGCTTCGTCACCGCAGTCAAGGGAAACAACCTTTGTTCAAACACCTACAATTGCACGGACTTTTCGCCATGCTGTTCCATCGCCATCCTTCCCATCGTGGCAATTGAGTCTAACTGAAAACCAATGTCGAAGTGTTCCGCTTTCATTGCTTTGTTGCTTGAGATTTGCCAGCCTCATGTTGAAAAAAGAAAAACTTTTCAGCAGGTTCTCTGACACTTGTAGGTTTTGGCCTAGTGCCAAAGGACAAACAAAGGCAAACACATTCAGGTGATTGGCCTTTTCTTCCCACGCACGGTTCCCACGGTTTTCTTGGGGCTTCGGCTTCTCTGTGCCTTGGCTTTGGAACCCAAGGACTGCAAAGTGCCGTCCAGGTCATCACCTCCGGTCTTCATGGCTTCCACGACCTCGCTATCCTGGCTGTTGAGCATAGTTGAGTGCATGTCCACCAGAAGGGGCGGTTTGTGGTCCCCAAGTGAGTGGGATAATGGGGACCCCTATCCTCCAATAGGCACCCCTTTGCGACTCCTGGTGCTTGTGTTATATTTGTCTGGTTGGTGGAGATTACTATATAGTGGGGTCAATCATCTCAAAATTGTTATTTTTATTGTATATATATACATATCAAACCACCACCCAGTTGTCCTCGGTGCGAGACTCAAAACTCGCAGGGGGCATTCTGGGAGTTCAGGGTGCACCATGTGAGCAGCGGACAAAATTACTTGTGTAGCCAAATACCATTTGACATGATTATCGTTTTTGGTGGGGTCCATATCGTTCTCCAATGTTTCTCCAAACCGCAGTTAGCATAGCATACCGGCACATAGACTAAAACATAAAATATAACTCACAACCTCAGATTAGAGTCTTAGAGGCTTACAGTGCTTTCTGCACAGGAATGGGTTCTTGTGGCACTGGGCTGTGCAAGGATCACAACACATAAGCGGGGACCTAGTAGCTCGGCCCATGAACAAACACTAGTTACTAGTAATGTGGAGAAGTAGGTCTACGGAGTGACTGGCGCGACATTTAGGTTATCGTTTGCTTATCGTTTGGATTATCGTTTGGGAAGTTGTCTGGGGTTATCATTGGTGAAAAGTTGTGCCCATCGGTTTAGCTAATATGCTCAAATAAACATGCAAATGCAAATGCAATAACATATTGTAACCACAAACGTCTTTGTATCCACTACAGTACGTCTTAACAAGATTATCGTTTTTGGTGGGGACCATATCGTTTTCCACAGAAACGAAGCCCTCAACATAGGTTTAGGGTCATGCCGTGACTAAATAAGTCAACCAATAATTTTGTCCGTCGTTCATGTAACAACTGATTCAGTGTTGCAAACATGAGACCAATTGAAGACGTCTACTTACTTCCGCACAATGCAAGATGGACCTCCTCATACTGCTCATGAAATTGTAGAGAAACATCGTCCGTGGAAATCATCAGGAGAAAGGCCCTGAAAGCATCGCAATAGGAACACCACAACGCACGACAACGCATGAACCCTTTGGATAGCTTTGACTCCAAGTGAAAAAACTCTTGAACCCCCCAACCCGCCGGCCCGGATGGCCGCCGGCCCGGGTGGCCGGTGTGCCTGTTTTTTTCGAGAAGCACAGCACAGCTGCCAAAGGGCTGACAAAAAGGCACCGAACCTCGAGCAAAGGGATGCATGGAGGGGTGCCAGGGGCAGCTCTGAAGACCTGTGAAGCGAAGCCTTGCGACCACCAGGGCCTTGCAACGTCCACCTGTTGGGAGTTCGGAGCTCGTTCACAGAACTCCACTGAATGAGAAAAGGCACAAAAACCACCTGGCAGCGTCGGTGGAGGGAACTCCTAGGAGCCCTCCAAATGATCGACTTGATATGCTGACCTTACTGGAGATTCATTCCAAGCACTTCTGTGATACAAGTACTCTCTCTATCTCTCTGGCGGGCATGACCCGTCCCGGAGTCGTAGACCTGATACAAGTACTGTTGATAGAACATATTTGCAAGACTTAACAATGCTTCTCCCACCCGCGCTTTGACCTAACCCTTTTTCCGGGTCAGTTCTGTCAGCGCACCAAACCAGTTTTTGCAACTCTCCAACGGGTCAAAAGCGGTGATGATCGGTGGGCGCTGCTTAGCACAGTGGGCGCGTTGCTTGGTGCAACTAGGGCACGTGCCAGCAAAGATCATCTGCAGCCACCAGATGACCCAGAGGGAGAGCAACAGCGCAAAGAAGACCACGAACATCCAGGTACTCTCCTGCAGGTACTCCGTGATTCGGATGCTTTTGGAAGTGAAAGGGCGAGAGCCGGCCCCAAATGTGCCAAGCTCTGCAACACATGGGGGTTCATGCCCAATCAAGTCCCATCAAGCACACCGAAGATGACAGGCATGTGGAACCACCAAAGCAAGGATTAAGGATCCCATTAGAAGCTGCACGTCGTTGGATGCCCTAAAGTCCCAAAGTTTCCCTGGTTTGGACATCGAATCTGCTCTTAGCTTGAAAAAGGGGATGTGGCAGGAACACAAAAAATCACACAAACACACTTGAGAAGAAGCTCGTGAGAGCGTATTTCGAGTTGGTACCAGAGATGCATTAACTCTTTGCGATCTGGTAGCTATAGTCATTCGTGCAAGAATGACCTCAAGAACCTGGAAATGGCCATGTGCAAACGGAAAGGTGAGAAGCCCGGACCAATATATCGCCGCTGCGCCGCTAGAGGATCTCCTGGGTGAGTCGAGGCCACCAATCTCCTAAGGCTCCAGAGGCCTCTCCACCGTTCTGTTGGATCAACTCGCCTCACGGGACGGGAAAAGCGCATCTAACACCTACTCAGGGTTAAGGCCAAGCGAAGTGTTTCAAAACAAGTGCTGGGTTATGTCTGGGGTTTAAGGGCATCTTTTCCGCCCGGTGGCGCCAAGGTGAAGGAAACAAAGCAACTTCAAAGGTTCTGGAATGTTCTGAAAACGAGAGGAAACGAGGAAAAATGACTGTCACACCTACTGGTTCGGAAGACCACTGTTCAAGCACAGAACGGTGTTTCCAACTCTTGCTTGTGTGTGGGATCCTGTTTTGGAGTGAAAAAGGCTCTTTGATCATACAGGAACACTGTCCTTGAGGGTGCTCATGGACATGTATGGCCTCGCGAGGAACCATGCGTTATCAGTTGTGGGGCTGGATCAGCTGCTGCTCTTGGTGATCTCAGTCCAGGAAAGAGATTCAACCAGTCCAGGAAGAATACCCATGCCTTCTAATAAGATTCAACCAGTCCAAGCATATCCAGACATTGGAGTAGAAGACTAATGCCTTGCCAGGGCCCTCCCGCCCGTCCCCATCTCATTGGTCCAAGTAACCCAAATCACCCCCCAAGGGCTGCGAGGGGAAGACGCATGGCTGTCCGAACCTTAGCGCCCAGCATGCGTCGAGCACGGTCACCAACGCACTCCCAAAACGTCCTGGCGGCTCCAGCTCGTGTGACCCCAATTTCTCCAAGGGACTGGTGACAACATGAAAAACCAGTCAACCACCCTAATGTAGGTCAATATGGCAGTCCCATGTGTCGTGTCATGGAATGTCTGGATGATACTATCTCATGATCTGCTCCCATGCGGCTGAGAGGTGCTGGACGTTTGGGAAGGACCTGAACCGAACCGAACTCACTCGATTTTTATCAATGGCGCATGGCGGCGGCGCCCCAAAAACACCGTTTTGCTATAGAGTGTAGATGGCACAATCCCCAACACCTGGTTGATAATGGTTTGTCCGGACCCCCATGTAAAGGACATCTTAGCATGCCAGTGCCATCTACTCTGAAACCACTGTCACCGAGCCAGGTCAGTTGGGTCGTAACGATGCGAGCAGTTTGGGTCGGTGGAAGAGGTCTGGCACGGTCGGATCGGTTTTCTTTTTTTTTTGCGTTGGTTGGGTCTATCCTATTGCCTGTAACCGTGGATGATGGTTAGTAAAGGCCTTGTCCAAACATGATGATAATTGTTTACTGACTGTTGCAGGTAATAGGACAGACCCAATTCGTTGGTATAGACAGACCAAACGTCTGTTTTGTTCGATGGCAAATGACCGGCCCACAACTCACTGAACGGAGTTAGACTGAATCCCGAACAATGGGATCTTGGACTTGAATCTGTGTGCTGAACATCTACAGAATCCAGAACCCTGGAGTTTCTGTAAACATTCATCACGGTTCCCAACACTAGCAATTACAGTATAAGAACTAAAAAAGAAGACAGCTGGAGAGCCCATGCTCGTACCCTTTCCATCTCAGACGCATGATGATGGCGAAGATGCAATGCAAAGCAACCGCGTACAACCTCAGTTCCAGCTCAACTGCCGAATCCTGCTGAACGCGAAGCAATGCCGTACTAATCAGTACAAATATCAGTACTAATTCTAATCATCAAAGGAGTTGTTCATGATGCTCCGATGACTGCCCGACTCCGCGAAGGTTCGCTAGGAACTTGGTTCGTGGGCTTTTTCTCAGCCACACATCCACCACCCCAAAGAGCCAATGGACGGGATGTTTAGGATAGAAACTCCTCCTCCAGCATCAGCCATTACATGCCATGACCCAATTCAACAAGTCACCAATCCTGTTGGACACCTGAAGGTTGGTTGGAACTCCTCTGCAACTTGTAATTTCACCAAATTTAACCTAATGCAGACCGTTGATCTGGCAGGGTCAAAACATCCTTCCGGTCCTCCATGTGTTTCGTTGTGCTTCAATTCACCCAGCCCAGACTACATCTTTGCACATATACGTATAGTAAAACAACTTTTTACACACAAATATATATATATATAACACACACATATATATATATATATGTATATACACATTACAATATATGATACATATCCGGTCCTCGGCCTTTTTCTCAGGCACACAGTACCTCGTTCCATACCGAGGGGCATCGCTTCGCTGGATTCCTGTGCCAACAAGGCGTCGTACTGCGGAGGCCGTTTGGAGTACCACAACAAGGAGATCTTGTCGGCCCAGTACCTCGAGGGACGGCACTACTAGTCGTCCCCGCGCGCGTGCCAGCGTGGAAAGCACGGCCGAGGAAGGCCAGAGCTTGGTGGAGCAGCAGGCTTGCGCAGCTGCTTGGGCAACGTGCGCTGGTGAAGTGGAGTGGGATTGCAGGTTGGAGATGCATTGGCCTATTGAAGTCAATGGATAGTTGAGTGGATGCACCACTGACAAGAAGATTCCAAAGGCCACACAGGCCTGTTGGGTTTTCCACTTCCAGGTGGTGTGATGTTGGAGTCCCGTGCGGTGTGCGCTTATGTGCTTTTGCTATCGAGGGGGATTGAGGCGATGGCATTGGGAACCCAAAGAAGGTTCACCCGGGCAGCTGGAGGTGCTGGAAAAAGAACTCCGAGGCTGCATGAAGTGGGCAGTTATGTTGCATGTGACTGACTACATCCAATGGATCCCATGGATGGAGCAAGCAGCATGAAGCAACCATATCCCTGTCCATTCGACGAAGTCGATGGTTGAGACAGGCCCCTAAGGTACTACTAAGGTCTTGGTGAAGTTCACAGAAATCACAACTCCAACACATTGGTGTCGCTTGTGAGACAAATTGTATGATACATGGAAATATTGGCTGGTTTGCTAGTGAGAAATGTACAGGTTTGGGTTCCGAGGGCATACGATTTCAACATAATTCGTCTGGAGTGACACTGACACATCGTCTTTTTTGCATTGCGCTGTTTCTGGGCCGCGCGACATTAGCCCCATGTAGCCAAAGGCAAAGAGGTAGAGCAATGGCATGCCAGAGGAATAGGTGAGGGTCACAAAGCAGGTTGTCAGTAGCTGGGCATACCTCGGCGCTTTTTGAGTTTTCTGCTCAAAAAGAAATGGTGGGGAGCCTGAAGCGAATGACCATGTGAACCCATTAAACTTCTCCCAGAAGGACTGTACCGGATTTTCTGACTCTAGATGACTTTAGACCCCCAAAGATGAACATATGGGGCCCCCAGATGTTGGATCTGACACCAGCATGATCAGGCACGTTCGGAGGGAACTGGAAGACTTTGAGGGTCAGTGGAGGTCCCAACATGTTCTCACGCTCTTTCGATCGTGCGAATGACCATGCAGGTTCCGTCGCGTTCAGTCGCGTTCAGTGCCGAACGCGACCATGTCAAAGCACGGCGGCGGCGGGCTTTCCGACGGGTTCCAAAACACCTGCCATGGAAAAGCATGGAAAAGCATACCAAACCCGTGGCGGGGTGGACCTTGCAGTTTTGGCCATCAATCTTTGAGCAAGTGCTTAGCATTAAGAGACTTGCTGAGCATTCAGGGACTTGCTGCCAGTGGAAAAATCGCACGTATACCCACAACTCTTGACACCTTTGCTTCCTCATGGTTCCAAAGGTCACAGACTGACTACGGTGCCGCGGAGCCTAGTCTCTGGGGGAGGCACCGAGGCACCCTGTGCCTTCCGAACCAAGGGGGTACCTGTCGTACCTTCCGACGCCGAGGTGCTTCGCTTTGATGTCGAAGTCGGGATTGGTGTAGATCCTGGGGCGGCACACGGAGAGCCCGGTTCGGGAATTCGTGTGCGGCCTGGTTCGCCTCTTTGCGAAAAACACTCATGGGTATTCATGGGTCATTGGATGTGATTGGATAGAAAATGGTGTGAGGTTCATAGTCAGGAATTGTAAAAAGAATCGATCGACCACCAATCCTGGGTGGTGCGGAAAAAGGTGGTTTCCCATGTTTCGGCACTCTCCGGTCTGAAAGGGCTGGCTGGGGTCTCCCTTCTTACAGACCTGTGCAGGGAATGAACTTGGTGGTGTGTTCAAACACTGCCCAGCAATCTGAGTCGTACTTGCCATGGTTTTCACTGGCAGATCTGGTAGAATCCACAGATCGTCAAGAACTGAACCCTTCAGAACTTCATCTGACTATATAATATATATATATATGCTTTAGGATGCCCCGAGCCCATCCAAACCCTGCAACATCCTGCAACTCTCACGCTGGGCTCCCTGACTGTATCAGCTCCGAGTGGTGCTTCACGCGACCTGCGAGCGACTCATGTGAGGCGCAAGTGCCCGGTGATTCCGCAGCACTGAAAGCTATCCGCTACGCGGTACGCCTGCAGTCCTCTGCAGCATGCTTTTGGGCTAAAGAATGTGGCTTCTTTTGTCAAACCCATCAGGCCTCCCCAAGAGGTGGTTGGCAAAGGAAACATCATCGGTTTGACGGGTTCACTTCAGGTGGGAAAAACGGCAAAATGCCCTGTTCCAACCCAACTGTTTTTAAGATAGGGCTGGTGCCTTGAGAAAGGTGAGGGTCTTTCAAAGAAGGTAGAGGTATGTAGGGCAATGACCGGGCAATGGATGTGGTCAACGTGCTCTTCGTTTCCTGGGATGTGCCCGGATTTGCTAAAGAAACCCGGAAAACGAGCAAAAAAGACACAACACATATTCCCCAGAAGGGAATTTCACACTACACAAAGCAAAAGCCGTCTCTTACCGTTGAATTCATCTGTTTTCATTGTTGGGACCTCGCGCATCCTTGCAGTCAATTGGGGGTCCGGGCTTCGACAACAACATCGCATGAACTTGGTCACAAAGATCATCCTCAGGCGGCGACTGGTGGCGACAGTGGTGTTGTCTCACGCGTTGTTTGGGGAAAAAGAAAGAAGCTCCGATCTGGTTTCTTATTAGCACAATCTAACAGCGCACTTGAGGTCGGGGATTATCAAACGAGATAAAAACGATACTCTACATCTTATTGTTTTTATATGTGTGTATATTTTTGTTATGTTCTTTCTCTCCCTCCCTCCCTCCCTCCCTCCCTCCCTCCCTCTCTCTCTAAATCTCTCTCTATCTCTCTCTCTCGCTCTGTCTCCCTCTGTCTCTGGATCGTCTTTCGACCGAAGCCCACCCCAGCCGAGCATGTAGTCCAGTGGTCTATTGGGAAGTGTCAGCTTGTCCAACTCCTGCAGGTCTGCCTATCTTTCACAGTGAACGTCACAGTGGCCCTGAGTGGAGAAGATCTTGGTGCCGAGTCCATCTACTTCTGCATGTCACAAGAGGGGTGAAAAGCAAGGAGAGGTTTCCAGGCTAGCGATGAAACCCAGGTTCAGCGAGTTGCCTACCTGCTGATCACTGGATCTTCTTTGCCCCAGGTGCAATGCATGGGAAACATGCAGCCCTACAGTTAAGGATGGAAGAAAAACAGGCCCAACACAACCTGAAATGAGGAACACAATTGATGGTCTTTGCTTTTCTTCTAGGACTTCCAGGTCTAGGGTTTGTTGGTTTTCCTCCATGATCGATGGGCCTGGTTGGACTCAAACAACCGCTGACGCCCAAGCGTCGCGATGGTGATCGAAGGAGGTGTGACCTCACTTTTGTGCGCGAGAGCGAGTGGAGGCTGGGAAGCTGCCCGAAAGAGGCTGAAGAACATCCTTCTGTCACCTGAAAGGGGGTGCTTTCCAGTCAACTCGAGAGGACACTTGACACTCAAGGAGGAAAGTGAAACCTGCAGGTGAAACAAGGACCAAAGAACTACCACTGGATTCTCTACCCGCCAGTGTGCAATGCTGGACTTGGAATCCTGGTTGGCGCCCACTGCCCACACCCATTAAGCCGTGGCCCAGGCGGTTTGATGTCCGTTTCATGTTGCTGGGGATTTTGGCCAAATCCGTTGCGCTGAAGAAACCACCGCACGGATCCGCACGATGCACCAAAAAATGCTAGAAGCATCTTTTGAATCAAGGTGCCATGTTCAGCAACATGTTGGTCATAATCGTTGCACCCACGACGACATACCTGGTGGTCAAGACGGAGAAGAAAGCGAGGAGACCAATCTTGGGTCTACAAGTCTACAACCTCGGAAAGGGAGGCAGCGGACACCTGGCTATTGAGTCTATGTGCGCGATGGAGTTGCAAATCAAGGGAACCTGTTTCACCAGTGTTCACCAACCATGACTTTGGGTGGCCTTGCACTTGGATGAAACTACTAAACCTGGTTATACGGCTGGGTGGTTCTCCCCCCAAAGGGGTGAAGACATGGTGGATATACCAGAAAATGCATCATAAATACGGGGAACCATATGGAACCATATGAAACCATATTCGATGAGGGATGATCATACACCTGACATAATACCTAAGCCCAATCCCACACGACCAGTTTTAAAAGCGTTCTTGCTTGGAATATCTTGAAATGTCATTGAGACAGGCACAATAAAGGGAGCACAGTTGAGTTCACGCCCCGTTGTAGTGGACTTTGTCTCTCTCTCTCTCTCTCTCTCACCCCTTTCAACTAACCTTTATGTCCTCATGTTGTAGGGAAGCCAGTCCCAATGCCATACTTGCAGGTTTGCCAAAGTCCTTAGGTTTCGATCACAGCCCAGCTGCCAGGCGCGAGTCAAATCCTCAAAGGGCCCTCGCAGGAGCAAATTACCCAAGCCAGGGATCAAAGACACAAAGTCTCTCCTCAGATGGGGGCAGGAGAGACATAGAGAGGCCACATCTGGTGGTAGGCTGCGGTCGGCTTGACACCAGGCCACATCCTAATGAGATCGACTCCTAGATACTCCTAGTCTCACCAAGCTCTAGAGATGTGCAACATCAGCTGGATCAAGTGATGTTCATGGTGTCTTGAACAACACCATCCGCGGCCCCCCTTCTTCCCAGCTCGAACCACCTCTGGTTCCAGGGGTGTAGCAACATCGCAGATTCAACTGGTGGAGTCGGTGGTGATTCCGTGATTCCTTCACTGTCTTGCCTGACTCCTCAGTTTCCCTGGAACCTCCACCTCTTTGTAACCCTTTTGTCCACCTATTCTTGTTGATTGGGGCTGCTGGAGGTCCAAGGTCCGAACCCCAGAATTCGAAGAATATTCACTCTATAGACTTCGTAGCGTTTACAGGTAGCTGGAGATGGTTTAGCCTTGCGTTGCCGCTTCACGATTCAGAAGTGTTTTGAGATAAGAAACGCATGTGCGCCGTGCTGTCATGACTGGAAAAAACCAACAAAAGATTAAGGACACAGCCTAAGTTTCATCCACAATACTAAGCGCTACTAGCCGCCTTCTATAAGCCCTTTTGCTAGCCCCTCAGCAAAGCTTTGTTTGGTCCATCTATCTCTGCTGATGTTGTTTTGTTCATCTCCTTCAATTTTTTGCCAAGAAGAAAATAGTGTTGAGCAGCCATTCCTCTTATATATGGATGTTCATTAATTACTTCTATTGCCCTTCCGGAACGCTAATTATACAACTCCCAAAAACAACCTTTGCTCATGCTGGGTTATTGCTTGTTGGCTCATGCATCTGGTAGTTGGCAAATCTGGTGGAACGATCCAAATCATTTGGATGATGCTTCCACATTGAGCCTGCATGGGGGGGGGTGATTGGTCCGATGAAAAGATTAAGCGTCATTCTGGGTGTGTTGGACAAACAAATTCACGAAGTCATGATCGGTCATTCTTGAACAAATAGCACATGCTCAAAACCGACACATGGCTCCCCCCTCTCTCTCCACTCAACCCGTGTCCCTTTCACGTGACACGACCCCGCCAACGACCCCGCCAACTACTATATAATGACCAGTTCGGAATGGATGATGAGTTTAGGTCCTGCTCCTGGCTTCTCCCAAAGTCTCAAACAGCTCAGTCTTCCCAAACTTGACCAAAACCAAACGGAAGATTGAGCCGTTCCAGTTTGGGCGGCATCCTGCGGTCACTCCCTTTTCCTGCGATCTCTTGATCCAGCCGCCTGGCAATGAAAGTGTTCTGGGCGCGAGGGCGGGGGGCGACGTAGTTGAGATAAATTTGTTAGTTGCTTACTCAATGGTTCTTGCATCTCTAGAATTGCCGACCACTCTGCATTACATATATATATATATATCATATATACCACGTCCATGGTCTACACTCTTGGAGGACAAACTGGTTGTTTTTTTGATTCAGAAACATGTGGCTCCACATCGGTGCTTGACGGATTGTGGTGCTACTGGTGCTCTACTTCAGCCCCTCTCATGGCGCTAAGGTACCTCCTGAGGACGGGGTTGGAGCTTCGACTCGAGGGTATCGGCAGAAAGCGCTTCCCTTCCAAGGCTTCGGAAATGAAGCTTTGGCCAAGCAAACACGCTCCCTCTAAACGACCAAAGTACTTTTTGGGAAAGCACCGGTGAACAGAATACTGGAGTTTTTTGGTGACACGCGTTTCTGGACTGGGATGCCCAACCTTGGTGGTGGAGAAGCTAGTAAATGGTTTCTCTGTGAAATGACAATCCACCTGACCTTCAACAGCATGCAGCCAAAACAGGCTAGGACTCCACAATAATACTATAAAATGACATCCCACCAGAAAACGACACAAAGTGAACACCCTACAGAATGCCATGTTCAGGCCTTGGGCCCTTTTCAAAGCAAAGCCCGCTGTAACCCATTTGTCAGAAGTCACTTCGTGATTCTGTTTGGACTATCCTGACATGCAGTGACATACATAGTATAATTGCTATTATTAAATAATCTCACATATCTATATATATATACACATAAAGAACACATATAAATGTGACCCTCGCAATGCCAATGGACCATCTCAATAAACTGTATTCTACGAGTACTTTCCAAGTCTTCTTTGTTTGGAGGGAGAGGTCTCTGATCCTCTCAGTTGCCCCTTAATGTCTCCTGATTACTCCAAGCTCCCCCACCTTTCATCTCGTGCTTCGGCGGCGGCGGCGGTCGAGAGAAGCCTCTGCGAGCGGTGCGAGGGAGCCTCAGTGGATCCGACCGAGGGGGAAACCCCCACGGGGGGTGGGCTTGGCGGCCGAATAAATACTGGTGGTAAGTCATCAAGTCAAACACCAAGCTAAGGTAAGAACAAGTACGCAAGAACCCTGGTTCAAATTCTTAGCCAACTGTTTCCTAGCACAGCCCTATGTCAACCACCGCTTCAAATGATATCGGACATGTGGGAGGATGAGTTTGTTCAAAAAGAAGGGCATTCAGGTCATGATTACACCTCATCAAATGGCCAATGGCGGCCAAGGAAAACCAACAAATGCGGACAATGGCCACTTACTTAACCTGATCCCCTGCTTTGTCCACCATCTCTTCTTTCGCAGATCCAAACGTATATAGGTAATACAAACGCATGTTGTGAGTAGAAGGCACAGACCCAGTTTTCCCACCAGTCTAAAGCAACAACCCTTGAAACTGGTTGAATCCAAGCATCACTCGAAGGCCTGGAGACAAAAACCAAGCACAAAGGTTCATTGCAGCACTCTCGGACGATTTGGTGTCAGCTGGTTTGAACCCACCCAGCTTTGGCATCATCCAGTGGAAAAAAGGGGGACCAACATGAACGTTTCACCGCCAACACTTCTAGAAGTGGGTGAGTTGGGCGATCCGTTTTGTGCCCTACGTGAGTCGGAGCGCAACACTCCAGGCACAGCAGGAACTCATCTACTAAGCAAGGACCCATGTAACATTGGTTAATGCGCTTGTTTGTTGCCATTGTGGTGGTCGTAAGATTCTGCCGATTCCTGAAGAACACAAGATAGGACATCGGTCATAAACACACAAAGAACCGAGTACTGTACATAAGAATCCACAGGATCATAGTTTTCTCGTGCTTGCTGCTTACTCATTATCTATCTACAGTTAAACCTCTAAGATCCTATAAATCCTCCAGGAATCCTCCTGTTTGATAAACGCTGTGAGTTGTCCATGCCTGAGAGGGCCTTTGCTGGGGGAGCTGCAGCATGTATCCTTGTTGACCCGTGCTCCATCTGCTTGGCGGGCACTTGGAAGAATCCCCCACTTGCTCTCACCTCAAAAAGTTAGGTAGTTGAAGGTGGCACCACACTTGAAAGTTTGCCAGAATCATCAACACCCAGCCTAGCCTTGAGGAGTTCACCCCACCCACTACTTCACACTCCTCCGTCAGTTCACCCCACCCCGCCTCCACCATTCCGGAGATCTGCCCAGGGCACGTCCAGCTGGGTGAGCAGCTCTTCCGCAGCACGACGCAGCGGCATGTTGGAGGCCCAGGTCTTGCGCGTGAGGCCCAAGCCGCAAATCAGCTCCAGGCCTTTCGAACAATCGATCAAACACCGGAGTCGCGGAGGTGGAGGTTACAGCGCCATGCCCAAATGCCCAGGTGGGTTGGTGTTGCGACATTTGGGGGATGCAAAGAGATATCAACCAAGCAACCGGAAAATCGTGTTGGCACATGTTGAGTCAGCCAATCTGAAAAAAAACACCAGGATTTCCACCCAAGCGACCACTCGGGTGGCGCCCGCTCCAGTAGTTCTTCTCCCGGAGCCACCATGCAATCGCGATGTGCGCCGCACCCGGCGAGAGGTCATGGAGGTCCAAGACATGGGGCCCTTTGGCAAAAAGCCTCAAGTGCTGTGATTCAGGTGGCCAGAAAAAAACAAGGTACAAACAATAATTCTAACATATTCCAAACACATACCCACGCACGAACGAGCCACTCGAAACCGGGAGATCGAATGTGGTCTGACGCGTGAACCACACGGGTCCCACCAGGTGCTCAATGCACCGCTGACAACGGTGACCTCTGGAATCAGGACAGCACGGGTCTCTGGCAGAGTATGTGATTTGGGGGCGGAGACACAGACTAACAGTGACTAACATAGAACACACCCACTATTATATAAGGACTGATAACACAGCACATGGATTTGTGTTTCCTTTGATGTTAACTTTCACAGGCGTACCTCCGGCCGGCCGTAAGGGGGAACCATACCTTCTTGAGGTGTTGGGATCCGGGATGTCCAATAACACCCCTTGAGCTTTGTGCTGGGTTAGATTTCATTCGTGTTTCATTGAATGGTATTGAATGGACATGATGATGACTGATGATGGAAGGATCTGTGAAAATATGTCTTTTTTAAGTCTCAGCACCGATGAGAGCTTTGGTTGAACATCGGCACTTGTCCTGCATTCTGGTGCACCATTTCAAAACTAACCCAGAGATATATACCTATAGTCTGTTTTGTTCAATCCTGTTTGTCCCTGTCCATGCCTGTCTGCACCAATGCTTGTATCTAAGCAGAGTCTGAACAGCACGTGGGAATCTTTCCGCCCCACCGAGTGGCCATGGATAGACTTTGGCTTCCAAGGCTTCCAGGAAGATCGCCTGACGACGCTGACGGAAGAACGACATGTTCGGCGCTTCTGCACTTCCGCCTGGTCTCGGACGGATCGGTCCCAAATCCTCGGGTCAGGGGTCTGTTTCTCACCCAAACGTTTTGAGGGACCAAAAGCTGTTCGGAGCGTCTGGGAGCTTGATTTGGCAATCAGCAGTTCCAAAATGGAATTGTCTTTTTAGTCCCATCCAGTGAGTGGATGTTCTGGAGGGCCCCTATCCTCCGTCCGTTCGGCTCCCAACTCCATGGCGCCGCTGGTCCGTATGCTTGAGGGAGGCCTCCGCCAGGGGTGGATCCAGCGGCGCGTTCAGGAGCGCGTTGAAGCTCACTGCATCGGGCTGTAAGTGGGCGCCCAACAACTGGCCTGGGAACTTTCAGAGGTTCGATGGCACAGTTTCCCCCATGACAAACTTGCAATCAGCACTGCTGACAGCTCAAAGGAAAATATACAGTATGTCAATGTGATGTCCATGTTTATCCTGAAAGAGATGGGGGTCCAGTACTAAAGAACCATCTCAGAACCATTGGCCGAAGAAAAAACGACTTGTGCCATCGGCCCTGTATCTACGACGACGGCGTGACCGTTCACGGCACCACCGAAGCTCCCAAGCTTCAAAAGGGTGACCTGCAGGTGATCTGTGTATATAGGCATGGGTAGCTCTACCAGGAAACCCCCTTTTCGCAAAAATGGATGTGTATATATATATATATAAGTGATATGATATATATATATATATACATCAATGTGGATTTGCAATGATTTGCATTCAACATCATTCAACACCTCTTCTTGGAGAGGGTTCTTCAGCAGATCCACTCACAGCGGGCCGTTCGGGGGTTCGGGGGGGTCCGTCTGCTGGTCGTTGAGTCGTTCGGTTCTTTCAGGCGGAGCTGGTCGTTGAGTCGATGAGTTTGAGAGGTTATGAGTCAATGAGTCGATGAGTAGACTAAGACCAAGCAGACTGCAGTCCCACAAAACAGGACAATTCCTGTGAGCAGGATATGTGTGCCAAAGCCTCCAAACTTGCACCAAGCCAACAACCAAAAGGCTCTATTGAATGGCAAAGCTTCCCCCAGCCACCTGCAGCTCCAACACTTCCAAGAGGCTGAAGACCTCCAAGGCCACTCCCCAGGTGGGTCTTGCGCCTTTCGCGCAAGCCTCAATGCAGGCGTTGTAGCTTATCAGATCAGGCGATAAGGCCCAGCTAGACATCTCCTGGCGGTGCAAATGGACAGCGAGACACATGTGCCGAGTATAGACACATCTCTTGGGACGAATAACATCTCCTGAACGATGTAATTGCCTTGGAAAATGGAACAGGTGCCTTGGGCCATATAAACACAAATGCTTGTAACTTGTAACATCTTAGGGGCCCCATTTTCTGACGTCCGAGGTACAAGTGGGTCGACTCCAAATCAAGCCAACTTCACCAATCTTGTTTCAATTTCTGCAATTTACAGCGAGTGACATTTGCCTTTTCAAAAAAGGTAATTTCTCGACCAACTGGTATAGTTTGTTAACGTTTATCCCCACTTCCATGTGAGTGAGACAACGTGTTGGAAGAGCTTGGTGACTCCTTGAAAAGTTCCAACGCCCAAGGCCACTGCTGACCCTTTTCGCACGCGCTCATCGTGGCGTTGAAGGTGAAGTTACTGGGCTGCACCGCCTCGCTCGCACGTACGGCGAGCTCCGCGGCTCGCACGTCTTCGATCCTTTCCCAGCGGATGGGTATCCAAGAAGAAGGAACCACGGCTGGTCGGCCGGGCGGCATGATCGTTCCGCTTTTCTGCATTTCATGGGGATGACTTTTGGTGATAGGTATACTGTATAGCTTACCTACCAGCAAGATGAGAACTTGTAACCCAATCAGTGCAAGTCAGCAAGAGGTGTCAGAAGAATTCACCAGGGATCATGCTCCTAAACCGCCCCAAAGCGCGAAGCCTGCCAAACCCTTCTGGCATGAAGAGAAAAACACATTGAGTCTCGCGAGTTTGTCGAATTCTATACCTCGCGTCCTGAATCTAAGAGTTAGGACATGTTACTGTAGGAACACTGTAGGACCTTAGGACGTGTTTCCTTCGAAAGGAAGCGCTAAGGCGTGGACTCCCTGCTGACCTGGGACAATCCGGACGGCCCAACGATAGGACGGCAGAAAAGTCAAGCCAGGGAAAGGAGAGGTCTACATGGGCTCCTTTGGACTTGATTGGAGGTCACATCCCAGGCTTTTCTCCCAAATAGTCTAAAACACACTCTCCAATGCAAATTTCATCGGGCCTCAAGGCGGTCAGGATGGGGGGCAGGTCAAGGTAACATCAGAACCAAGGCCCCAAGGCCCCAAAGCGTTGACGTCGTGGTGCGGACTTTTCTCAGGTGGGCCAGCGAGAAATCGACCTGGACAATGAAGTGTACCAAGATCTGTACTGTTTCAATTGTCACTCAAGTGCTGACATATTGTTTTAATCAAATGTAGATCCTTTAGGAGTATGAAACCTAGGACCGGGAATTTCCGTGTTCTGCCCAGGTCCTTCCCACTCGTCCAGTTTGGCGTTTGGGTGTCTATTTTACTGGTTACGGTTTGTCCGGTTTGTTCCTTTTCGCCTCGTTGGGAAGAACCGTCAGCGACTTCGCGGCTTCGCCCTTTCGGAGGGGTGCAACAAGGAGAGCCGACTCACGACCTCAGTTTCCCTGGCACTGGTAAAATCATGTTTCATGAGGACACCAGGGCAACCACTGCCAATCAAAAGGTTAAAGGTTATCAAGGTACCCACTGGTAGGGAGAATAAGTGGCCTGTAGGTCGCCCCATGGCCTGGCCTTTCTTATTTCATGTGTGCGGCCTGCAGCACTCGCGCTCAGAATCGCGCAAAATTTTTCAGGTTCAGAGCCAAACAGGCGGTGACTGATTCAGAACTCCTCGTTCAATGATTGACCTGAAAACAAACCTCCGCAAGAGACGCAGGATCTGGGGATCTCCTCATGTAGACCGACATCGTCCCAGCGGAAGCTAAGCCTCAACCCTTTTCAGCCAGCAGGCTTTGGCGAAAGAGAGCCAGCGCGGCTGGCCACTGGGAGGCCTTCCCAAGAACGCTGAGAATGCTGCCTGGGCGCTGCTGGCCACACATTCCAAAAAAAATCCATACCAGGTAGGTAGAGGTATGGAGGTCGAAACTCCCCCGAAAAGCGTGTCGCACTGATTGGATCTGGGTTGCTGAGGGGAAAAGGGTGGAAATCAATCATTTATGGAAATCCCCCATCCTGGAGCCTCATTCGAGTCCTCATACACCTGGCGTCTCAAGCAGTCCCTACTCACCGAGCTGCAGTAGGCGACACCATCCCAGTCCCTTCGTCGACGACCTGCGGAGACAGGAGCAGGTCGGCTCAACAGAACAGCGGAAACGAAAAGCTTTTGGACATCTGTCTGCTTTGAATCCTTGGGGCGGATTACATACAATGATCATGATGATAACTATATATAGTTATACTACGTCTACGTAATTAAACTATATGGTACACTTAAGCTTAGACCTTCGGATTATAGATCTTGATTGGGATTCTTCGAATCCATCACATTTGGGAAGTAGCTTGGTCACCCAGTCTACCCCGGGCGGCGGTTTTGACGGTCTGGACGTGGAAATGCAAACCGATTGACGTCATGAGCACAAGACGTAAACGTCATGAGCTCTGTTTTCACAGATTGAACATATGATTGAACAGTTCAGGGCGCTGCTTGGGACACATCCTTACGTTCCCTTACGCCCTCCTAAAACAGATCCCGAAAGTGACCTGGGTCTGGTTGAACTAACTAGCACGCCCTGAATTCGTGCCCCTCTTCAAGTGGGCTTGACGGCTTGACGAACAGGGTGCCAGTGGAACGTGGATACTCGAAACCCTTGGAGACCTAGATCAACTGCCTCTTAAATCACCCCAGGCCTCATAACTGCTGGAGGTCATGAGCAAAATGGCTTGGCCATGTCCGGCTTCATCAAGAATTGAGTTTTTCTGGACTTCGGATGGGCGCCTTCGAAAATCTCCAGTGCGCAGGTCCATTGGACACCCTTCTCGCAGGCGCTCAGAGCCGCCGAGCAGGTGAGCAGATTGGGACGGATCTGCCTGAAGGCGACCGCCCAGCGCAGGGGGACATGAGTGACATAGACCACAGCGAAAAGGCATGGGATCTCAAGCAGTTACCTGTTCAAATGCTTGAAACGTTCACAAGGTTCTATAGTACGGGATCTTGGGAGCTCCATTCTTGTCATTCAAATCAGTTCAATTGTCAGTGGCGAGGTGCCAGTGCTCCATGTCGAAGAAGAGCTGAAGTGCATGCTCCCACCTACAACTGCCCATGGCAATCACAGCAACCATCCCCCAAAACTGAACACTTGATCATGGATCCTGGAAAACAAGAGGACGCGTGCTGACAGGGACGCTGTGACGGGGACGCTGTTTTGAACCCTGCTCGTCACGAAAATACCTTGGTAGACTCCCCAGCAAGGCAAATTTAAATAGATTGATAAATAAAATCAATGATCAAGAATCAAAAAGCAGGGCCCGACGTAGAAAGCCTTTCTCATCCTTTCTCCAAACCATGTCGCATTGGTGCACACTAGTCAATGTGCACCTGTTAATGAATAGGAATCATTCTTCCTGTTTCCGCCCGCTGGTCTTTGCAATATGTTCATATCCGTGCTCAACAACATGTGAACAGTTCCTTTGCAAAATCTTCAACCTAACATCCATGACATCCAGGTGCATCACGCATCCGCCAAGGAATCACAACACGGACGTGTGAGGACAGTTCTGGGGTGAGAAGAACAGAACTGATGCCTTTTCCTCTCTCCTATCTGTAGCACTGGGCCCCAGTCGATCGTTGTTGAGATTGCGTTTCCCAAAGCCAAGGAGCCCTTGCATGCTGCCAACCACTCCCCAGTTCTGCAGCCAGGCTTCTGCGCATGTCGGGTCAAAGCACTGATGGCACTCCCACAAAGCACCGTGTCCTTCACCGGAAGAAACATGTTGTCTTTGCGGTGGCTACGCGTCACATCGGAAGTGTCCTCGCCCAAACACTCCATGTCTGTCATTGACCCCTCTGGCACCACCCCAATGTGTACATACACTCTCTGAAAGAATCATGAACGTGGAAAAAAGGTCCCTGGAAGACAATTGTGCTCGACAAACAGGATGTGTTCCACTTCCATGTTCATGACTCGGAGAGTAAATCTGCCAGATCCCATGAATCTGGGACCCACGGAGTCTGTCTTCTTCCAGCCGCGCGTCCAATGGGGTCACGGCACCCCATCTCCCCGAGCGACCCGGCGACCCATCCGGGTGCTTCATGTAGACTCTTGATTCCCCCATTCGAAGAAATCCGCTTCATATGGGGGGTGATCAATCAAGTCTACATGTCACCCCCGCACCCCTTTCCGCCCGTGCCTTCTCGGATGCCTGCTCCAGAAGTTCGAGTGCCAAGGGCCAAGCTTGCTCAACGGCATTGATGCAGCTGCTCAGCGACACGCCGTCAGCAACCACACGCTGCCTGGGAAGGAAGCGCCCGGAAGCGCTTCCGGAAGCACAACGAAGGCTTTGTCAACTGTCCTGAGGTTGGACTACCTGGTGACCTGGTGGCAAACTGTTCCCAGCTAGATTTTGCAGCTGTTCACAGGCTGTGTCAGGGAACCTCTTCACACCCAAAGGGTCACGGAACATGAATCTGCAACGTCGGAGCCGAGGCTTGTGGCGCCGGTGTCGCAATCGATGCCACCCTAAGGGGCCGAACTCGCAATCTCTCTCATGTATTCTGTATGATGTTGATGTTCTGTGTCTTTTTGGCCTTGATCGCCTTGATTGACCTAAACCCATATATGATGATGCAGGGTTTCGGCTGACACCTTAGTGACTTCCGAGCAGGGACTTAGGGCAATGCCATTCGTTTCGCCCCACTTAGTCCTCCGTGACGGGTGAGAGATCAAAAAAAATAACGGATCAATTAAAACATATTCTACACGCATCAATAAAAAATACTGACTCAAAAAACATATTCCAATTTGCAGTAGCAGTAAGAGTAGCAACAGTACTATAATAGCAGCAGTATCGTAGTGGTAGTCGTAGTGTTTCGTGGCAGGTGCAGTACTTTTTGTGGACCTTGCAATGCACATTTCGTGGCAGGCGCAGGACTTTGTGGATGTTGAAGTGCAGAGTTGGTGGCCAGTGGCAAGCGCAGGACTTTATGGGCCTTGGAGTGCAGATTTCAGGCGCAGGACTTTTTGTGGACCTTGAAGTGCAGATTTCGTGGCAGGTGTAGTACTTTGTGGCCCTTGGAGTGCAGATTTCGTGGCAGGCGCTGGACTTTGTGGACCTTGAAGTGCAGATTTCGTGGCAGGTGCAGGACTTTGTGGCCCTTGGAGTGCAAATTTCGTGGCAGGCGCCGGACTTTGTGGACCTTGAAGTGCAGATTTCGTGGCAGGTGCAGGACTTTGTGTATGTGGAAGTGGAGAGTTGGTGGCAGGTGCAGGACTTTGTGGGCCTTGGAGTGCAGATTTCGTGGCAGGCGCAGGACCTTTTGATGTGGAAGTGTAGAGTTGGTGGCAGGTGTAGTACTTGGTGTGGATGTTGAACTGCAGATAGACAGATAGAAAGATAAATGGATCGATAGGTAGATAAACAGATAGAAAGATAGATAGATAGATAGAGAGATAGAGGAGGCATATTTGCTTGGTTATGAAATGATATGAAATGCAGATTTCGTGGCGCGGGGGGCGGCTGCCCCCGCCAGCAGCACACCAGATCCAAAGGTGAGCAGCTCGTGCTTGCTTGCTTGCTTCCTTGCTTGCTTCCTTCCTTGTTTGGTTTCGTCTCTGCAACGCAAACAAAAGGAAAAAGAAAAAACAAAAAGAGAAAGGAGAACAGCTGCGAGAAAGAAAGAAAGAAAGAAAAACAAATAGATAGACAGATAGATAGATAGATAGAGAAGTAGATATAGACAGATAGATGGATAGGCCAAAAAACCAAAAGCCACAAAAGCCACAGAAGCCACGAAAGCCAAAAGTCAAAAGCCACAGAAGCCACGAAAGCCAAAAGCCAGAAGCCACAGAAGCCAGAAGCCACGAAAAAAAAAAATACATGGCCCTCCATATCGAATCCACGAAGGACCAGAGGACCAAGGGACCAGCGGACCAGTGGACCAGCGGTCTGCAAAAAAAACCAGAGGACCAGCGGACCAGAGGACCGGCCACCTACACGACTGGGAATCCAATGGGTTTCATCCCACAACGAATATGAAATAAAAAATGTTTCAGTAAAAAAATGATTCGGTAAATATTTTTTATTGATTTGATAAGTATTTTTCTTGATACCTGACACCTATGCCCTCCGCACCCCCCTGGCGGCTGCAGCACAAAGAGCGAATTCATCAAGGCCAGCATGTGGCAGCACTGCTGCCACCGCCGCGCCGAAGCCAAAGCACTCAGAGTGGCATTGAAAGACACAAGGTCTGGGCGGAAAGCCTGAGATTCGTCCATGAAGGGCAGGATTGGATCGTGTGTTTAAATTACCGGGGGCTAGGTTTCCTGCCAGATTGATGAACATGGAATGTGCCTTACCAGTGGGGGTGTCCGGCAGCACTCTCACCACTGGGCCCCATATCCTTAAAGCCTACAACCAATGGGATGCCTTGAGTCCGACTTTCGCACGCAGTCCGCTCTCTATAGCCTTCGAATGCATAAACCAAAGGTATGCTGGGACTGTGGCGGCCTGATCTTGTAGTCGCTGGAGGATGCCCAAGGCCTTCATCCACAGATCCTTCTTCAGGACACTGATCGCGGCGTTGTACAAACCCACCTCATGGGCCGTGCTCAGCACGTCGCCCGAAGCGGTATGATTCCAAAGCCGCTTTTGAGGAAAGTGCTTGGACTTTCCAGCTGTTCGTGGTAAGTGGGGGAACCAGTCCCGAAAAAGATTGTCTACTATTGGCTGGGTCGGTTGTAGTTTTCCGCCTCCTTTGCGCGACCAATTGGACCTTGCATACCGGCGGGGTCTCCATACCTGCTGCCTGTGCCCCTTTTATGCTTCGCGTGGCCTTAATTGGTTTTGCCTTGGAAGACTTTGATGAACAACGAATGTGAACACCCACACATATATGTATTATATATATGATATATATATATATATATTATTCAGAATGAAGACTGTTTAAGACTATCTGTATATATTGAATTTATATGACTAATCTTAAAATTTCTATTTTTATGTACACATATTCCACATCAATGAAGTACATACATAGAGATTGGCTGCGACTGCGTGCAATCTTAGCAGCAAAGCCCCATGCCCCATGCTATGCTTGGCTATTCTTCAGCGAGCCCCTCAGACCTACAGCACATCAAACCTTCTCTTCTTGCGGCAGCTGAATCATTTCTGTAGGCAGAACTGCTTCTAGGTCAATTGCGTCCTTCTGGTAGAATTGGTCCTTTGTCAGTGGATCACAAGCAACATCAACATGTCGACTCGCACCAAGTACCCCTTGTTGGGCAAGCAAAGTTCACGTGATTAATGTATATTCATACGGTTCCAAGAGTCTTACATTTGCAAACTGGACGGGGCCCCGTTTATTTCACCAACAATGAATAAATTTATCCCCATGTCAACATCGTGCAGGGGGTCCTGTCATTGATTTTGTAGATATGAAATGGTGGGGCGCCCCCTGGAATATAAAATTACTGTCCAACCAAAATTGCATCTCTATAAAATGAGTGGACCGACCCCTTCAAAAAAGTCAGATACAAGCAAATAGAGGCCGTAATATGAGCAAACATAGGGAATGTTACAATCACAAATCAAAATTGCAAAATGTTCTTGCCCACATTGACGTGTGTGGTTTTTGTTTTCAGTGCGGTATCCGCTCCTTCCTCCTCCGCCTCCTCCTTCTCCTCCTCCCGCACCAAGAACCAACTGCCCTAATTGTCATCAACCAATTGCTACCCACCGCTTGTCATCAAAAAATTGCTAGCCACCACTTGTCATCAACCAATTGTCATCAACCAATTGTCATCAACCAATTGCTACCCACCACTTGTCATCAACCAATTGCCACCCACCAATTGTCACACAACCAATTTCCCCAATTGTCACCAACCAAATGTCACCAACCAATCACCAACCAATTGTCATCAACGAAGTGTCGCCAACCAATTATGATTTGCTTGCTAATTGTCTTCTCCAAGGGGGTGGGATGTACGCCCTGGCGCTCGCTGGCGCTGGTGGGTCTCCGCCGCTGTTCCGCTGTGATTTGCGTGCGAGGTGTTCAAAAACACTATGTTTTACAGTGTTTTGTGGGCGTGGAAGATCCACAATTTGGACAGTGGTGAATTGCAAAAACCGTTGGTTTTACAAGGGAGGTGTCGGTAATGCGCGCCGCCCGCGCGTGCATAATCGGATTTTTTGAGTCATGGGCCCGTGTCAACGCAAATGGTGCAAAATGTACCCCAAGATGAGCCAACAAAGGCCCCCAAGATAGGTCCAAGATATGTTAACATAGCCCCAGAGAGGGCACAACATAGGGCCAACATGGGCCCAAGATGGGCCAACAACAACAACAACAACTGGTGGGTGGCAATTGGTTGGCGTGACAATTGGTTGAGGATCATGTTTTTGAGAAAAACAGGCCCTCAAAAATAACCATTTCAGAAGGGCAGAGACCTACCGACCAGTTGTCACCAACCAACTCCCACCAACCAATTGTCACCAACCAATTGTCACCAACCAATTGCCACCAACTACTGTTCACCAACCAATTGTCATCAACCAATTGCCACCCACAATCAATTGCCACCCACCAATTGCTACCAACCAATTGCTACCAACTAATTGTCACCAACCAATTGCTACCAACCAGTTGTTACCAACTAATCGTCGTCAACCAGTTGTCATCAACCAATTGCCACCCACCAATTGCCACCAACAAACTGCCACCAACCAATTGCCACCAACCAATTGCCACCAGGAAATTGCCACCAACCAATTGCCACCAACCAGTTGCCACCAACAAACTTCCACCCACAAACTGCCACCAACCAACTGCCACCAACCAATTGTCACCCACCAACCACCAATTGTCCGCTCCTGTGTCTGGTGAAGTTGTGAACATGTGGGGTTATCCGGTCCTATAATGGCTTATGTTGTTTTGCAAAATTGTGAAGCCATGCAAAACCATAAGGAACCTTTAGGTCACCAGGTACAAAAACAAAAACTATAAATACAAAAAAACTGGTAAAGAATGGAAACTACCATTACAAGCAAGATCAAACAAGTCAATCTAATAGATTGGGTGTCTTTTTTGTAGCTTTTTGTGGGGCACACCACAGTCACCACACAGAGAGATGAAATATTATGAAAATATAGAGCATAGGGGGGGTCAGCTCTAGTCATTTGATAGAGGTTTGGGGTGGTGTTGTGCTTTTTGAAGTGCACACAACACAGAGAGATGACATATGATGAAAATATAGAGCACAGGGGGGTCAGCCCCAGTCATTTTATCGAGGTTGGGGTTGCCTGCACCTAGCTCCTTAGAAAATGCATGAACATGCAAACCCAAGGAACCTGTAGGCCACCAGCTCCAAAAATACCAGTAAAGACCGGGGAAGACCACGAAAGAGCATTACAGAAGTGAAAATTTATGTAAATTTAGTAGATTTGGTGCCTTATCTGGGGTGCACACCATACAAAAAGATGAAACCTATTAAATTATGATGAAAACATAAAGCAGAGGGGTGGTCAGCCCTAGTCATTGTACAGAGGTTTGGGGGTATTTGGTGTCTTTCTGGAGTACACACCACAGAGAGAGATGACATATGATGAACATACAGAGGACAGGCGGGTTAGGACGAGTCATTTTATAGAGGTTTGGGGTTGCTTGCACCTAGCTCTCCTTAGAACATGCATGAGCATGCAAAGCCACAAGGAACCTTTAGGTCACCAGCTCCAAAAATACAGAAAAGACACAGAAAAACAATGAAAGATCATTATAGAAAAATAGACTAATTTTCATAAATTTAATGGATTTGGTGTCTTATCTGGGGTGCGCACCACACAGAAAGATAACATATTATGAAAATATACAGCAAAATTGAAAGCAGCGCTCTAACGCCCCCATTCCTCTATAAAATCATGATTCAACCCCCTCACCCGTGGGGGTCATATGTTACTTAAAAAAGCCTTGACCCCCCTCATTTCATGGAGGATATGGTCACGGGGATATGAATGCTTAAGAAACTACACTGTACAGGTTGTCACATGGTTGTCACCGATTTTTGATGGGGTTCTAAGATGTTCTAAGGCTTTGCCCTTGGCCCTTAATTCCCTAACGGGCAGCGTGGTGTTCGGAAATCAAATGGTTAGTTTCAGCAACTGCGAAGGTAGGTTTCAGAAACTGCGTTGCGCATGCCACGGACGTCATATCCCTGGCCCCACCCTCCCCAATGTCCATTGCAAAGCCGACCAGGACAGTTGCTGAAACCGACAAAAGCCAGTTGCTGAAACCGACTTAAAAACCAGGGCTTTAACCGACAAAGCCAGGTGTTGAAACCGACCAAGCCACTTGCTGAAACCGACAGAACCCGTTTCTGAAACCGACAAAGCCAGTTGCTGAAGCCGACAAAACCCAGTTGCCGAAACCGACAAAAAACCAGCTGTTGAAACCGACAAAGCCAGTTGTTGAAACCGACAA